CATTTTGCTTTCTCATTTCTCAAAAAAAGTCCATTTGTAGGCCATTTTAAGACCATTTTATAGCCCATTTAAAAACAAATCAGCAGGAGAAAACTTCACAAAGACTTATTACTTCATTATCTCAAGGTAAGGTCTGTCGCACGGTGGACTTTTCTCTTTACACAATCCTTACCGCAGTGGTTCTGTTTCCCCACCCCTCCCCAGCCCCATAGGAATCCCTTTTACTGTGTTGCAGGGCTTTTTTAAGGGAGGGTTGTACACATCTGTTCAGAGGATTTGTTGACTTTTTCCCCAGAGCCGCATTAGGCAGTGCCAGCCTTCTGTGCCTTGTTGATCACAGATGCCTTCCTTATGTCAGACAGCTCTTTGCATCTGAGACCCATTCAGAAATACACACTGCTGAATTTTATTGTTTAGGCTGTTTTGCTGTTTGGTTTCATCTAACAAGAGAGAAATGACAAAGGCAAAAGGTGGTTTGGTTTTGTTTTTAACCTTAAAACTGCTGTGGTGAGGGGCTGGTCAGCATGTTGCACCACAGCCGTCACAGAGGACTGCCCATAAAAGCCCGTTTCACGTGGACGTTTATTACGCAGTCCATCTGGAGGCAGGTGGCCTTGCTCCTTGTAGCACTATCCCGTCTGGCACATAAAGCTACCTGTTTTAAGACTTTGTGCGAAAAAAATAAGTTAATCCTCTTAGCAAATATTTTCTATTTTTTAAGGCAAATTTTATCCCTTTAACTTTCACTATTTAAAAAATAAATACCTGGAATTGACATCTGTAGCTTCAGAATGTGAGTTAATAAAGGACCTGCTAAGCCATTTAAACTTTTTTGGGGGTAACTTCCAGTCAGTAGTAGTGATGTGATTGGCTACAAATGGACTTTAAAAAGAGTGTACGAGTTTTATATTTCTGTTAGTGGTTTTTCTGAAGTAAGTAGAAGTTCATCTATAGAATTAGGTGATGTCCTTTGGACAGAAGATATATAAGAACAAAATAGGAAATTTTGCAAATTCTTCTGTGTTTTGGGCTGAAATGGCTAGGCTTTTTATATGAGAGAATTTTATACCTTCCATAGGCCTTTTTGAAAAAAAGACTTTAACGTTTGTCAGAAGCTGATTAAAATGTTCATGGGCTATAGAAATCACATTATTTGCTTTCTGTTCCCACATCCTAACATAGTTGGCATGTGGTTATTAGATGTTTGATGAGTGAGAAATGTCAGATATATCTAAGACTTCGGATATGTCGGTCATGCAGGTGAGTTGCAACAAACAAACAAAAACATAATTACCTCAGTCTTCACAAAACAAGTAGCTTTCCATTCATTTTTGTTCTATACCACTGGACAAAGTCTTTTTTTTCTTTGATTTATTTGTTTTAGGATCTTTCTCCCCTTAATGGGGACACTGGGGATTGGGCCCAGGACCTCACGCATGCACGTGCTCTACCACTGAGCTGTGCCTCCGCCCCACTGGTCAAAGTCTTGCCCTGAAGTCCTTTCTTCCTTCTTTCCTTCGAGCGGGAGAGCATATATTAGGGTGTGGTAGTGTGACAGGCAGCATAACAAACAGAACATGTATGTGTGTGACTGAGGCACAGCAGGAATGTCCCTATATGGCAATAAGGTGGGCCCTCAAATGCTTCCAGATCCTTTCCCCCAAGATGACAATATACAAGGCAGTGCACCCATGATTAGCGACCCTTCTTACCTGGTAGACATATCAAACTGAATGATCTGTATTAACCTATATTGAGCTTTGGGCATCCTCTGTAAGGAGCCAGGTGGCCAGAGGGAGCTGTGCCCACTGATCAGTATCTTTTGAACCTCCAAATATTCTTTGTACTCCAGTTGGCTGGTTTGGTAGTAAGCCAAACAGAAAGCAACCGTAACGAAATGTAAGTTATCTTTTTCATTAATTCTCAGACCCCGATCACACTTGAAGTCTGACCTAGTTCAAGTGCACACCTGTGGCCCGTCTTCTCCCAGCCTCATGATCCGTGCAGGGGAAGTTGTTCTTCTTAGACCATGCCTTGAAGAACAACTGGGAAACCAGTGAACTGAGTTGACTTCACCATTGTTATCCAGAGAGGCCCTTGCCCAGGTCTTACTGCATTTGCATTGTTGCCAGTGTCAGAAGTAAGAATTTGATTCTTACTCTTCCTTGTCTCCCAACGATGTCATATCCGAAGCAGAGAACAGTAAAGTAGCAAAATATAACAAAACCAGAACCTGTCGCTTTTGTGGTCAGCAGTTACAGACCAGTGGGGTTTTTTTCTTTAGAATGTTTTAAAATAAACTTCTGTTGTTACAGAAGCAGTACATACACACTGTAGAGAATTAGAAAGTCAGACTGGCAAAGAGACGAGCATCAGCTTCCCACCATCCACTGCTGTTTACACCTTGGTGCGTGTCTCATTTTCTCTGTGTGAACGTGGGTAAACGCATGCATGCCTGTGAGACATGCGTGAGAGTATTTACTCTTTGTAACCTTTTAAAAATGGATGATCCTTTCTTTTCCTTCTCAGTAAGTTTTCATCTCACATAATCACCAGACCAGTTTTAATTTTCCCAGCTGACCCCAGAATGTCCTTTACAGCTTGTTTATGAAATGGTGTCCAATCTAGGACCAAGCTTTATATCTGCTGGTGTCCCTTAGTCCTTGTCAGTCTTTCTTTTTTCTTTTTTTTTTTAGCACAGTTCCTACTTTTTAAATTCTGACTCACCAGTTGTCCTATAGAACTCCTATCTTCTAGACTTGTCTGGTTGTTCCTTTTGGTAAGTTTAAGTTGTTCCTCTATCCTCTGTATTCCTTGTAAATTGGAAGTTGTACCTAAAGGCTCAAAGGATTCAAATTGAACATTTTGGGCAAGAATAGGTGATATGTGTATTCATGCTACATCACCTCAGAAGGCATAATATCTGGTCACCCCACCATTAATGATCAGAATGACCTTTCGTTAAGTTAATGACAGTCTTGTGCCTCCATTGTCAAGTTATGTTTTCTCCTTATGACCAGAAGATTATCTGTCTTAATTTAGTGCTATTAACCATACACCTAATGGTTTGCTACCAGATGATAATCCTTGCCTGAATCAGTAATGTTGTTCCTTCCACGCTGACTGAGTTGGCTTTCTTCTGTGTAAAGTAGCACTTTCCTTCATTACCTGGAGCTACTTAGCTGCCTTGAAAAACGGTTTCTATTGGAATTCAGTATAGATGCCTAGTTCTTTCCCTTTAATTGCCAGTTTTCAGAGTAGAAAGTTATTTTAATAGCCACCGCAAACAGTGACAAATGAATTTTCCTCTCTCTCTCTCTCTCTCTCTTTTAAGCATTATCATAGACCCATGGACTGACATTGATGCAATGTGTTTCAGTCCACTAGCATGGTTTTTTTTTCCTTTATGCTTAAATTTGACACTTCATGGAAGCCCATTCAAGTGTTTCTTCTGTCTCATCAGTATTTGAAAGCTTTCCTGCTCTTAAGTATTGCTGATTCTGTCGTCTGTGTCATTACTGGGTCAGCTTCAACTGATGTATTTTTGTCTTGTTGTGGGTCGTGTTTTCCTGCTGCTTTTCATGCCTGATGATTTTTTGTTGGATGCCAGGTACTGTGATTTTCCCCCGTTATGTGCTGGATATTTTTGTATTCCCATAAATATTTTTGAGTCCTGTTCTGGCATGTAGTTAAGTTACTTAGAAACAGTTTAATTCTTTATCAGTTTAAGCTTTTTAAAGTGGGGCCAGAGCAACGTTCAACCTAGGGCTGTTTTTCGCTGATCTGTTTAGTGCTGTACCTGACACCACCCCTGTGAATGAGGTCTTCCATTCTGGCGGGTAGGAACCGCCCCACCTGAGGGACTGATCCTTCGTCCTTTCATATGGTAGCTTCCTCAGTGCAGATGCTGATCGGTGCTCAGCCTAAGTCCTGGGTCCCCCGGAGCTCTCTGTGCAGCTCTCTCCTCAGTACTCCCCGCCTCGGGCCCCCAGCTCTGTCTTCTCAATTCACTGTGGTCTGTGTGGTTCCCCGTCCCTGACCTGTGGCTTGGAAAGTCTTTCCGGGCTGGGGTCAGGTCCTTTGTTGCCTGATCTCCAGTGATTTGAAAGCAATTTCATACCTTTTTTGGTTTTTGTTTTTTTTTTTTTTTTAGTTTTAAATGGAAGTGTAAATTGGCTCCCTGATACTCCATCTTGTTTGTCTACTTTGTGTATCAGTTGATTTCCAAAGTCAAATTTATTTATGTCTACAAAATGGAAGTAATACCACCACTTACTTCGCAAGAGGGTTATACTCGAAAAGTGCATCCTCCTAACGCTGTGTAAATGTGGATAGTAATGCCTTCTCTACTAGATAGCTGTGGAGCTGGGATTCGAAGCCTGGAAATCTGGCTCCAGGGTTGTCCTCTCAACAGCGGTGCTGGTTTGGCCATTGACTCGCTCCATGGGGGTGTCAGTTACCTGTTCTCACATCGGTGCCGCACACCGAGCCAGTCAGCGGCTCGGGAGCACCCACGGGGCTGGCGGGCTCTCCTGTGCTCTCAGCGGGGCTTGGTAGGTCCTCCTTGGCTCTGTGGTTCCTTTGGATCGTCCAGGCACTTTGCTCATCTCACGTGTTTGATGGCTTTGAAAGCACTGGTTCAACATCCTAATAGTTTTTAAAGGTTGACTGTGTTTTTCCTCTGAAGTGTTTTTCATCAATTGTATGACTTGCATGATATTTGCTCCATTCCTTTTGTGCTGTTTATGATTGTTTTTAGTGCTTCAGTGATACTGTGTTGTGACGACAACAACAGTCTTTAGAATACATACTAACGCATTGAAGAGAAGCCACGATACGCAATAGGGACTTTGCTTTTTGCATGGAATGTCTGTGCATGAGTGGCATGCTGGAACTTTCTGGCGAACTTAGCCTGGCTGTGCATTTGCTGTTTTTAGCTTTGGTGTTCTCTTTTTCCCCATTTACTTCTTCATTTACTGAGCACCTTTTTTTATTTCAAGGTGGATATTTTGGCTCAGATTGGTTGTATTGAGAGTCTCAGCCAATCACCACCTTCTTCATCTTCTCCTTCTCCTTCTTCTTCCATAAATAAGGTAAAATTCAAACTTGGATGCAGGAGGAAATAAACACTTAAACTCCCTAGAAGTAATCCTTTTTTCTCCAAGTGAGGTGATTGTTTCAGGTAAGCTGTTTTACTAAAGCTCTTCTTGGGGACATGGCAGCACAGAATGTGGAACATACACGAATTGGAAGGGTAATGGAGATTTATACCTTGAAGGCCTTTTAGCTCACACTTTCAGTGAGACTTGATTGATAAATTTATTCCATGCACAAGGTCCAATGGAGTTTTTAATCACATAGGTGACAGAGCCCAGATGGGATTGGTACCGTACAGGGTGGGGAAAGGAGAGAATGGTGACGTTGCTCAGTAGAAAGGAGAGAGGAGGGAGAGCTGGCAGAATAGGATTGGAGAGGTACCTCAGAGTTTGAAACCTTAGTACAGGAGCAGAATGCATTATTGTGCAACCAAATGTCTGCAGATGAGGGACAAAAGGGGTTATTGAAATTGAGAGCAAAGAAGTCAGGGGCCAAAGAGTCATTAAACCAGATCGTTGTAGCCCAGTTTGTTGCAGTAGGGGTTAGGCTTTGAAGAAAGGATCTCAGCATTTAGCACACAGAGGATGTGCCGAGAACCCCAAGAACTTAGAGTTGCTTTTGAATTTTATGGCAAAACGTTTCTGTCTTCCTCTTTCTTTTATGTATCTGAACTAAACGGATCTTTGGCTAAAATAGAAAATATCTTAAGTGTTTATAATCACCTGTTTAATCAAAAGTTTCTCTATTAATGTGACCTGGCATTGAACCATTTGGAAATGTAACTGATCATTTCCTCTAAAGCATAAACTAATGGGGACTTACCAGTCCTCGTTCTTTTCTTTACGTTCTAGATGAGCCCTCGTGTAGTAGAATAACCTCTACTGAACACGTACCATGTGCCAGATATTATGTTACGTGCTTTATATGCATTATGTCATTTAATCCTTACAAAAGTTCTAGGAGCAAGTTAATGTTATGATACCCATTCTGTAAGTGTGGAAACTAAGAGAGGTAGAGTGAATTGCCCAAGTTCGTACGGCCAGTAAGGTGAAGCTGGGATTCAGACCCAGGCGGACAGCTCTAGAGCTTAAGTTCTTAACTGCTGCACCCATGTGAAATTTACTTGAGTCAAATTCCCACAGTCTCACAAGTGGATTTAAAATTCAACCAGCGGACCAGTGTTCTTATCCTTGCCCCCTTTTAACCCATGTTACGCATTTGTAAGATGCACCTTCCCTGTGGTTATCATCTCGGGAATACCTATCCCCGCCCATGCCATCGTGGCCATTCTGACTCTGTTCTCTGTCTTTCTGCTCTACAGTCAGAGACAAGCCAGTCTCCTTTCGGTGGATACATTAAAATAAGTCACATGATGTAAAGCCAATGTAAATGCATTTCTTTGCCTTATGAGGATAGGATAACTTTAAAATTTAGAGTGCCAAATCAGCAAATGTGTTGAATACATTGCTTTGGGCCTTAAGGAGCATTTACTTTAGTTGGACTGGGAGTTAGGGGGAGAGTCAGATAATTGGCCAGTTCTAGTGCCAGACAGATTAAAATACATTTATACTAGAGATCCAGACAAACATGCTTTGGGACTGTTTTAATTTAACAGATACTTAATTTACGGAACACTAGGTGCAGGCCCCACGTTCATAGACGGTAGGACATCACCACTGGTGACCCTGATGGGCACAGATCTTCTCTTGTCCCTTGCATGTATCCTCCTGCAATTCAGAAGACAGAATGTTTGTAGCGTAAGTTTTGTTGGTTGAATTTTCCAACATTTGCCGAAACTTCGAGCGTAGAAAAGTTAAATGAACTTCATAATGAATGATTGTATACTTGCCTCTTAGATTTTACCATTAGCATTTTACTGTTCTTGCTTTATCACACACATGTCCGTCTGTCTGACCATCGATACCTGTCAGTATCCTCCAACTTGTCTGTAGTGCGCTGATGCGCTGCTGATAACTTGGAAGGCTTTGTTCTCTTAAGAGGATGGTAGTGCTGAAAATCACTTATTCTGTGGTTGACCACAGTAAGGTATTTTCCTAGAAAAGGCTCAAGTCTGTATACATGAGGAAAATCTGATTTCCATCTTTGTGAAATAATGGTAATGTTACAAAGGTCAGATGTTGGACAAAGAATAATATGTATTTCACACACATGATCAAGAACATCATATTTGTCTACTTTAAGTAAAAATATTTGAGTCCTTGCCACTTTATTTAAGGCATTTTGAGAATCTTTTGGGAGAAGTGTTTGCCCAGGACTTCCTAGTGGAATGACCAGCTGATATGCAGATAACTCTAACAGAAGACAAACTTTGGGAGAAAGTGGAAGGATGTGACTGCGTGTCCGCCAGCAGACTGAGGCCAGCGCCCTCAGTGGGTAGGACTGTGACAGAATTTAGGAAAATGAGGAAGAAGATTTTGCATGCAGATAGAGTATAGCCTGAGCAAAGGCAGGGATGTAGGGAAGTCTGGGAAACTGCAGGTTGAAGCACAGAGTGAGGGCTACTGGTGAGTAATGAGGGTACGAGGAAGAGTTAGGGTCTTGGTCAGTGGATTAAGGAGCTTGGAATCTCTTCTGTCGTCCATTAGGTCTAAATGAATGGTTTTTAATTAATGTGATTGATACAGTCAGAAGGGGTTTGTTACCAGGAAGGGAGGGAAGAGAAGAGGATGAAGACATGGAAGGAAAGCTAGAAGACAAGAGAGAAGAGGTGTGGATGACTGGATGCCTGCAGTTAAGGGACAGAGGGTTATTGGGAGCGGAAAGCAAAGGAGCCAGAGGCCAAAGTGCGGGAAGGGTGGGTTCAGAGAGACAGACCGTGTTGGGCCGCGTGGCTGATTGTTAGTTATTGATATTAGAGGGGGGCCTAGAAGCCAGTAACGGTCACCTGAGAGAGAGCGCGAGTGAAAAAGTCAATGATGGAAACTGGAGAGATTCTTTTCTAGTTGGCTAGATTTTGAAAGATTTATGAGTAGGAGTCAAGTTGAAACAAGGTAGAATGTTCAAGAGAGAAAAAAAAAACAGAGAAGCAATTACTAGATTTACCAACAAGGATTTCATAAATGAGGTAGAGAGCTAAGATCATACCCATCACCAAATAGTATAGCAATTATTACAAGCGGTTTATAAAAAAAAAAGAAACTTCTGAAAGAACTATCATGCCATGTGTTTCTGTCCTGGTAAGTTGTACCTTCTTCTGGGATACTTGCTATGAGTGGTTCACATCCCATTTCTTCCTCAGTATTGGTGAAAGCCTTTATCTGAGGTCGCCGGCACGCAGGCGCTGAACTTTCCCTCTTCCTAACGTTCTAGTTTATAACCCTTCCATTCCTTTTCCTCAGCAGTTTATAGAAATGCTAGACAGATGAATGTCTGCCCTTATTGTCATCAAACTATCCAAAATTTCTGTACCTTTTGAAGTTTTTATTCTAAAAACAAAACCTCATAGTTTGGAGCACAGAGTATAATATTGCTCAATAAAACTCTCTTCCTTAAAGAAAACTGTGAAAGGAAGGGATGCTCATAAATGAAGTGTGATTGTCAGGCCCTCAACATGACCGCCTTCCTTTCCAGTATCCACTGGAGTGGCTTGAGAATAGCTCCTTGTGAATCATATATTCAAGAAATTCAGTCATAAGGATGAAACTGTCTTTCTGCTATTAATAGTTGACTTTGAGCAAAATCACTAGTCACTTTTGTTTCTTAAAGATATAAAAGATGTTAGAATGAAGTCATACTTTCTCATGTAAAATGTATACTGTTTTTGATGCTTTCAGTAGGTGGCAGGCACTTACCCACCCCATGTGTCAGCTGGTAAAGAGTGAAAAAAAGACCCACCACCATAGCATTCTAAAACACATGAGGCAGTTTGGGTAATTTTCTTGTAAATCTCTCTCTCTTATCTATCTTTCCATCTTTCTTTCTTTTTTTTTTCCTTCTTTTTTTTTTTTTTTTTTACCAACACCAGATTTTTTTCATGTGAGAAAGAGGACTCAGGTAAAGGGGAAAATTTGCTATTCCATGTTCTTGAGTGAACAGATTCAATATTGGATTTTTTTTAAAGGCATTATTTGTTTCCCCTGAATTTATCTGTAAATTTAAGGTGATTCAAATGAAAATAAATGCCTTTTTAAAAACTTGTTCTAATGGCATTCTATCTAGTGGGCTCTGCAGTAGCTTGATACTAGTATGAATGCATGAGTAGGATACAGTAGCGAGTCCAGAAGTAGGCCCAAGTCCAGTGTGTGATACTTCACATCAGTGAGGGAAAGATGGATTATTCATTAGATGGTATTAGGGCAACAGACTGACTACAGGAAAACGTTAAGTTGGATTCCTTTATTATTTACTGAAGTAAATGCCATATAGGTTGGAAATCTTAAATTAAAAAATTAAGGAAACAAAAACAAAAACTGTGGTTGCGTCAGGGGTGAGAGGTGGGTTATAGGTCCTCTTACTGAAATTTTTGAAATTGGGTGCCAATTATTACCTGTTTCTACATTTTGTTTATAATATTAATAATTAAACTATAAAATTACGCTAGGAATTTTGGGAGAAAATATTTCTTAAATTATTTTGGAGAATGGTAACCGGTTTATGCAAGACAAGACCCTTGGCATTATCAGTAGGAGTGTAGAACTATAACTTCATAATCTCTTAGGAAATCAATTTGAAAAAAACCTATCAATTCTAGGTGCACACTTTCCTTAGCCGAACAGTTTTTCTTCTGGGAGTTTCACATAGATCTCTTGGAACCTTGGGAAAAGATGTACAAAGATGGGCCTTGCAGCATCATTCACAGTAGCAAAATACTGAAAACAAGATACATGAGCATCAGCATATGCTGTTTAAATTATGGGAAATAAATACAGTGGAACTTAGTGGAGCAGTGTGAAAGAATGATGTATGTCATCCTAGGAGACATGCTAATGCACCTAGGAGAATATTTCAGGCTATTACATGGAAAAAGAAAAGAGCAGAGCAGAAAGTATAATTTGGGCTCACTTACAGTATGTTTAAAAACAGAAAGGATCTCTGCATGGCATGTTTGAGTAAGTATATGTGAGGTATTAGGAGCTATTATCTCTGAAAGGATGACTGGCATCTTAAGGTGATAGGAATATTTTTTTAATTTCATATTCTTTTATACTATTTGAATTTATTTTACTGAGAACATACTACCTTCTCAAATAAAAATTAGAAATTAAAAATACAACTGACTACTATAAATCAGTTAAAGTGAATAAAACAGATTCTTATCAGCATGTATAATCTCAAAAACATACTGTTAAGTGAAAAAAAGTTTACAAAGAGATACATAGAGTACAGCGTTGTTCAGATCAGTTTTAAAAATAGAAAATGATTGTTATTCGTAAATGTGTTACACATTCCATTACATACAACAGGAGTATGAGAACATGCACAGGAATGAAAAAGTAGGAAAAGTAGTTACCTGGGGGGAAGGAAGAGAAAGGGAGTTTCTTTGTTACTGGTTGTAAAGTTCCGAGCAAATGTAGCAAATTCTTAACATCAGTAAAATCCAGCTGCTTTTTGTGCTTTCCTACATGTTTTAAATTTTTTATTTAAATTTTAAGTTATTTTAAAATTCTGTCAATTTTTTCAGCAACCCTATTCAATTGTTGTGTGATTCCTGCTGAATTGAGTAATGCCTCCTGGAAGTCACAAATCCTTTCCCTTTTCCCCCTAACAACAGGTTAGCGGTGGCAGTGACCCCTGGTCAGCCTGGAATGCTTCCAAATCTGGAAACTGGGAAAACTCGGATGGCTGGGGCGCCAAACCAGAGGGGGCTGCAGCCCAAAGAAACACTTCCAACAACTGGGACACTGCCTTTGGTCATCCCCAGGCCTACCAAGGACCAGGTGAGGAAGGGGCTCCGCTGGTGAGGGAGCCCACCTTACAGGACATCCGAGTTACTTAGATTTAATCAAAGGAACTGTTCTCAGGCGCTCTGATTCATAGCAAACCTGTTTTTCGATGCAAATGTAGATAGTCCTTAATTATGATCTGTAGTCCAATCTCAGTTACCTGCAAGGAGTCACACGTGCAAACGCTTGCAGGGGCCAGGTTCCTAAAGCAAAACCACAGCGCAATGCTGTGGGGCTGCAGAAGGCGGAGATAGGCAGTCCTGCTCCAGCCAGCAGGTTGATGCCATCTCGGGAGAGCTAAGCTAGTGGTCCTGGACCACCACAGTTCCAGAGAGACTGGAAATCTTGATTGTATCTTCCCACTTTAAGATCTTAGCAACCAACATATATTTTTTTAAATCCTGGGCCAAAAAAATGTGCACAGAGGTTGAGTATCTTCCGGTTTGACCGCTGACTTTCCTTAACTACCTGTTTGACTCCTAGGTTATTAATGAAAATACCGAGGCAAAAGAGGAATTTCTAAAAGGAGAAACAATTCAGGAATTTAAAAGGGCTATTTATGTCTGCTCTGAAATTAAATAAAACAATAAGAGAGCCTCCCACTGTTTTTGAATGATCCCTGTGTGAGCACATTGTGCCAAGAATTGAATGTGCTAAATGGCAAGAGACTCATCTGCAGGAGCTGTAAAGAGCACAGGTGCTGGTTCCGAGACAGGAGCTGGCTGCTGGCAGGACCAGGAGGCGTGGGCTGGGCAGAAACATCCAGACGAGACTGCTGACATCTGCTTCTGCAGTAACTTGGCATGGCTCCGGGAATCTTGGCCTGGATCCTTCTAATACTGTCTGTTCTCTTTTTTGTTTTGGCATTTGTCTCTCGGCCTCTCGCGGTAGCACTCTTAGAAGGCAGAGGTCCCAGGGCAGTTTCCTGTCTGGTGGTAAAGGGCCGTCAGCAGTGGGAGACAGAGGCCCAGAACAGTGGAAGAGGAGGGAAGGGGGCGGGAAGCTGTCAGCACCTTGTCTGACACAGAGATTATTGTCAGAATCTCAGACTCCCGATGCTGGTTAATTACTACTTGTCTCTCATTTCTCTTCCACCCCCTCATCCTTCTCTCACCTGTGTTATTATTAAGGTTAAACAATTTCTTTCCAAAACTCGATCATCCCTTTTGTCCTCCCCAGTCGTCTTGGCTTAAAGGGTCTCTGGTCTGCTTGTTTGCAAGTTTATAAAGCTAAATTTATTGATGTACAAAGGCCTGCCCTATGTACCACGGGGCGTTCTAATAGTCGGCGTTTATCTGAGGTGACTCGGACCGACAGCCCTCTTCAGGTTGTTTCTGACTTGTCTTTCACACTGAAAGGCAGAATCTACAGTTCAAGCCTCGAAACCATCTGGCCGCAGAGTGTGTACTCTTCACATGTTTATTATAATCCTCTACCCCTCACCCTTCTCTCCTTTTTTAAAAAATTGATTAACCCAGTTGATAGTTGTCATCAGAAAATTAAGTCCTCTCACTTCTATTTTGTTTTTTCTTTACTGACGATCTTGCGCGCCCACCTCCAGCAACAGGTGATGA